CCCCCGCCGATACGAAAGATAATGCATCCGAAGAAAATGCGCACGCACGTTCCCCACATTCTCCAAATGTACTTTATTTTTTCGCCCCGTTTCTCCTGAATTGTGTGGGAGCATTACCATTTTTCCTGGCGTATGGTGCCCCCTCCCCCGGCCCCTGCCATTTTTTTCTCGCATCGTATAATACCCGTGGGCTTCTTGAATGTGCACTCACAGGTGAAAACAGCAGTGCCCCGCCGCTAATGCTCCAGGATGCTACTTGCCTAGTGGCAAAAGCTCCTGCCCCCCCCCCCCTGCCGCCATTGTAAACCAGATGGAATTTATGACTATTCGTTGAATACGAACTCGGGTGAAATTATTATTTGTTTTTCATATGTGTTTTTTTTGTTTCGTGTGTTTGTCGTCTCTCATTTGCAGTTTTTCCAGAGTAATGAAAATAAAGGAATAAAAGAGTGTCGGGTGGAATGAACACAATGGAGAGTCAACGTGCAACCAGCGGTGGGATAATTTTAGAGAGAATGGAGAATTATAAAAATTAATTGGACAGCTTTTATTTTATGTTGAGGGTTTGAATTTTTTTGAGGATTGGGCTAGTGTCGAGTTATTTGAGGGAGGTTAATGTACATTTTGAAAGGTGGAGTGTTAAAAATTTTATTGAAAGGTTGATGTGCTGATGAAAATAGTCTTTATTTTATAAACTTTGAAATGAACTTTCGGGGCTGTGAAATTGTGACATGAAATTCTGATGAGGGTCGCAATCTGTGCAGTCTAAAAGGGTTTGTGAGGGTCTAAAGGGTTGTGTGGAGGTCTTATAAAGGTTGTATGAAGGTCATAGGAAGGTCATATGAAGGTTCCATAAGGATCTTATGGAGGTCCTATGAAGGTTATTTGAGGGTCATATAAAGCGTAAATAAAGGTCATAGTGCGGTTTTCTGGAGGTCACATAGAGATCGTATGGCCATAGGAAGGCCATACGAACCGTATTATCCCAATTTCGGCCCTCGCAATCGCCTATTTCGCCTGCAGTACCAAATTCCGGACGCCATCAGAACAGAATGTACGGAAGTGTTTCCACTGAGAAGTCTGTGAGTGAAATGTCACCATGGGATTTTGGTGTAGAACAGTCGAGCGTAAGTCACAGCAGTGATTATTGTCCCAATGGGTAAGACAGACTCGAGTGATATAGTTCCTGAAATAGTCATCAACAGCAACAAGCTTTAATGAGATTTGAGCTTATCTTATGCGAGGAAATGCAGACGGCAGAATGACTCGAGTTTTCCCCGAGTCAGTGGTATATGCGCTTCAGCTATATTTGCGCCTCTGCGGTACGTGGACCCCGCCCTTTGTCGACGCAGACTTCATCCGATATGTCTCGTCGTAATGTTGGTTAATTGCGAAGTTTCAGATTGGATGAAATGAATTCTGAAAAATTTTTTGTGTGTCAATGGACAGGTCATAAATATGTCAAAATTAGCAAAATGCGCGATGAAATACGCAATAATAATTTAGGATAATAAATTCGTAGGACGTTTATAGATGACAACAGAGATTCAATATTTCATTTTTCCCATTATAATTGAATTCTGTAACAAATTCCTGTTAATTCTAGGGAGAGGAGGGGAATATGAGTTAAATTTGCATTTATGCTCATGGAAAACAAATTGAGGGCTTAGAGATACTCGGGAATGCATGAGCTTCCACACCAGCTTCAAATATTTTAAGCTCACCGAAATTTCCTAGGTGCTTTTTCGGAAGTGATTCCACGGGGCTGATGGGAAAGTAAAAGGGAGAAAGGTGGATGGTCTCAGGGGTGTCGTATCTCACGTTCCATAGCGTCGTCACTCACCTGGATCATCCGCTCGAGAGTTGCGATCTTTTTGGTAAATGCAAGGTGAGGAAGCGGCGACATTTCCGGTCTCTTGAGGTAAACGAAGAGGGAATGACGTAATTTCATGCGGAGACTGAGGAATTAGATGTCGTTGGGGGGCTGGGTATCGTGGGAATCCCCTGGGTCATAGGAGAAGCATGGCGGGAAACTCTTTGAATTTGAGAGTATTTTTTGCTCACGAGTGGAAGCATTGTAATCGCTATAATTTAAGTTTCGCAGATTTTATTAATATAAAATCCACTTTCACTTACTGGATTTTTGTGCATCCACTAATTTTTTTAATTGCCATTGTTCACAATGGAGATGTTGAATATTGAAAAATTCCATTAAAATGCCGATTGATTGATTAAAAGAATAAAAGAAAATGAATAAATAAATTGATTCAATTAGTTGAATCGTCGATAAAAAAACGTCAACGTCGACCGCTCTCTTGTCGTTTAAAAAATGAAGGCTGATACAATTCCAATTATCGAATCGGACAAGATCACGTATTCGGATGAAAAATGCGGCGGTGTCGCAGTAGGATTACACGTACTTGTTGGGAATCGATTGGCCCTCTCCCATTTACTCCTCCGAGTTTTACGTGTTCTATAGCGTTATACCAAAATACCTCTCATACCGAAGAGAGGAGGTACGATGGAAGTACATAACCATAAAATAAGTCTCTTCTTGGTTTATTTTTTCTCTTCATTCGGGAGTTCCTAGGCACGCACGGACGGCCATCGACGGGAATAAACGGCACAAGATGGGAACTCACATATTTCTTATCTGTAGCCTACGGAGATGACGCATAAAGAATTTTTTACTGTGAAAATTAGTCTTGAAGGTTGTTAACAATTTTTCACTGAAATTTCCGGTAATTTTGTGGAATTTTTTATCGTATTTTAGTTCCTGTGGAATTTCCAGGAATTCCATAGTTAAAAATTCAGAATTTCATTGAAAAATTAATGGAAATATCAGTTAAATTATTCCTTGAAAATTGATAGAAATCAGTGAAATTTGAATTGAATCGAAACCTGACATGAAAGTCTTATGAAGGTTATATAAAGGTCACGTAAAGGTTTCACGAAGATCGTATGAAGGTCATACAAAGGTCAGCATTTCATTGAAAAATCAATCAACTGTAAATATCAGTTGAATTATTTCCCGAAAATTGATAGAAATCAGTGAATTTTCAAGGATAAATTTTCGAACATAAATTCTGCAATGTAAAATAAAGAACGTTGTTTTCCAATTTAAGGTTAGTTTTAAAGCTTATGGTATGTGCCACACCCAGCACTATACAGATCCCTCATGCATTTGCATGGCTTTTGCGTGAAGGATTTGCACGTGGAGCGCTTTCAAAGTGGAGGGGTCCACCATCCAAAGGATTCAACGAGACATCCTATTTCCTTGTAAATCCGTTCTCCATCAGTTTCATCATATTTATTTCGTCGAAACGAGATAGCTGACAAGAAACTTTTTATTCAGCTCGCTGCTGGATGGATCATGTCAAACCCACATTTCGATATTGATTGGCATTTCGGGTAAATTAGTTGATTCAAATTATTCTTCATCAAGGGAATATAAATTTAAAGGAGTGTTTTTTAATGAAAAAAAAACATGATTGATTGATGAAATTATTTAATGAATTAAATGTAGAACAAGTGGGAAATTGCTTTTATATTAAATCCAAAGAAATTTCTTCTTTAATCAATTGTGTTATATTTTTAATTTAGAGTGACATTGTATGAAATTCCAAATATCAAATAATTATATTATATAATAAATACATCCCGATGGAAAATATCTTAGACGAGTATGAGCTCATTGACTCACGAATAATTCATCGGACATCTGACATTTTCGGAGAGTGAACACTCGACCCTAGCGGGGAATTTCGAATACACGAGAAATACGGTAATAATCTCTCACAAGAACCAAATTGCGCTCCACGTACAACACCGTATATTTATACTACGGGAATGCATACATACGTTCGGAATATCAGCGGTGCAGAGTCGAAATATTCGATTCAAGGCATGAGGCACAGTGTGTCCGAAAACGAAATTCCGGGAATGCCTTGTTATAGTTAGCATTCCACCCAAGTATGTCTGACCAGAAGTCGTTGGTTCGGTTTCGATGTCGCGGTTACCGCTGGTACATCGAGCTACGGGAGAATCCGAGAATTCCTCCTGTCTAAACTTCCATGCATGACGCTATCATATTGGAGATTAAATTGGAGATATTATTATTGATGGAAATTTGGCGAAATTATGGAGGTCGCTGCAGGAAACAGAGGAATTTGAAAACATGCATATTTATACAATGAGGGCGCATATGGAGGTCATATGAAGGTCATAAGTTCACATGAGGACCAAATAAAGGGCGTCTGAAGGTCAAGTGGAGGTCATATGAGGGTTACATGAAGTATATGTGAAGATTATATAAGGGCTGTGTGAGGGTCAGATGAAGGACATATGAAGGTTGTATGAAGTTTACGTGAGAGCTTAATGAGGGCTACGTAAGGGTCACATAAAGGTTTCATGAGGGCGATATTTAGATTATAACCCCAAACATAAATTCTATAAAAAGTTGAAAAAATAACAGATGCAAGTAATGCATCCAAAATATATTCTTCATTCGCTAAACCTTTCAAATACCTCCTACCACCTCATAAAATTTAACTAAAAAAAAGAATTCTCTCTTAGTTCGATAAAAACAGTCTCCGCCCGAGACAAACTGTTCAACCCGTTATGTGTCTTCGGGATCAGTTAAGAGTTAAGAAGGTAATCTCGCATTATCGATTCGATTAATCGACCTGGGGTGAGTGGAAATGGGGTGAATAGAGAGGGACAGTATTTTTTTTCCTCTCATGCGAGAAGCTACAGAGGAGATGAAAGAAGGCGAAAGAGACAGAATGAGAGCACGTGAAGGTTTGAAAATTAATGGAGTTTTCTCTAAGGGGCCAATCTCATCGTGGTAACAGCCTTAAGTTTCCTTCTCCCCTCTTCACCATCAACCCACCTTCACCCGGTCTCTTGAGGCTCTCGCTCGTATTCACCCTGCCTCTCTCTCTCTCTCTCTCTCTCTCGTTGTGAAAACAGGGGCAATTTGTCACTTGGCTTCAGACGACCCGCTAGTCGATAACCCATACCTAGTGGAGAAGCTACACTATCAACAAATTTTCTAAATAAAAGGAGGAAGAAAATTCAACGTCGAGTGACGTAATGGGAGATGTAGGTGAAGAAACATCTTTTTGACAAATTGTTCCTCAGTTTTAGCATCAAAATAGGGCAATTGAGGCAGAAAAATGGTTTATTCTAATGGAATAAAGGCTATTCGAAGTAAATCAATGATTTGTTTGATCCAAAAAAAACAGACAAAAACTGAAATTCCACTTTTAAACTTTCATAACATGGGAAGATATCAATTTTTGAAAATTCCTCTTTTTTTCTATGAATAATTTAAAATTATAATCAATTGTGTGATGCAACAAAAAAATTTCAGAATTGAAAAAATTCCACGCTTTTAAAAATTTCAATGAAAGAATTTAGAACATGATATTCAAAGATATCCTCTGAATTTTAATTTTTATAAAGTACAATCTTTTTTTTTAATTCAAAAATATACTCTATGGAGGAAATGTAAATAATTTCGATGAAAAAAATATTTCGAATATGAAAAAAAAAATCAGAACATTCACCTCTGCCATTACCGAGTTACCAACGACTGAGGCCGGTCCACTATACCCCTCGCTCCCCCAATTATCCACAATTTTCTCCAAACTTACCTCACGCAATCGAACTAACAAATAGAATGACTTAGAATTCCCAAAAGTAGCAGATCTCCCACCCCAACCCTTTCCCCCCCTCAGGCCCTCTCACCCCCGCCCTCCCGAAAATCAACGAGTCGCCAAGACACCAGACACTGCCCCATCAGAAATCCCCAAAACCCATCCGAATCCCCTCCCAACAATCCCTAAAAAAACCAGTCCACCCCCTCCCCCGCCGCCAAAGCGACCCCCCCCCCGAAAAAACCACCCCAATGTATACATCAGTTAATCCACCCCCTCGGAGAAGCCACCGTCCCCAGTATCTCCGTTTTCTCTCGCATCACAAAACCCATTTACCCTTTCTGCTCACCGATGAGCGCCCTCTGACGACTCGACCTCGCACCACCCACCAGTGTCAGTATCGACTGGGCGCGCCGGTTTTAGCGTTGGATAGAACCCTACGACGCGCACCGCGGCGGAAGGGGGGTGGGTAGTGTAAACGAGGGGGTGGGGGCGGGCGGGGCTGTGCCGGCTTTCCACATGGCGCGCCCTACCCCTCCCTCCCCTCCCCCCCTAACCTCTTCCAAAGGTTCTCACCGCTGCATTCTCCACCTCACATCATCCCTAGAACAATTCCCCCCAAAGCAACAAAAAAAAACCGAAAAAACCCCTAGCCCCATCACAGCCTAGTCCGCGCCTAGACGCTTCAAAAATTCCCGAAAGATGCTGCCACATGGTGTTTTCGGCCGGTCTAACTGTCGCCGAAATTCGTATCAACTCGGGTATTTCCGGAGCAGTCGGTTCCATAAAAGACAGCAGACAGAGAGTTTAGGGGGGGGGCGGA